AGCGTCTGGAAGTCGTGCTGTCGATTCAGGATTTGCTAATCTCCCCAAGGATCTCGAATCTCCCTTGTTAGAAACAAAGATTTGATAATGTTTAAAGGGTAACATTTCAGAGGAGCTCACGCCTAATTACGAGTACGCTGGTACGGGTAACTGGAGAGATGATTGGCGAGCCACGCTTCCTGAATGTGTCGATGCTTTCGAACCGTGCTTTATTTTATTCAGGCTCAATACTATAACCGAATGGATTCTAATAACGTGAGTTTTCACTTTTCTTTTTGCAAGTTATGAAATTATAAATGGACAAGTTGAGCGCAGAAATTATATGCAGCGCTTTACGCGCGTACTCAAAACTTAATATATCACAGCTGTTTCTTCAGATTTGCCGATGATCGTGCACCTATCAAAGAAAAAATGTTACTAGCTGCTACTCGTGCCACATTTAAGAGTGAATTTGGACCTTGCTATGTTGAACATGAGAAACACGTCACAGATAGAAAGGTTCGTTTGAAATCTAGAAACAACTAAGTTTTGTTTCTATATTAGGCTTGAAGCTGGATGAAACGACATTGCGATTCATTTCAGGATCTTTCCTTGGAATCTTTTGAAAACTGGCTGAAGACGAAGGCTGAATTGGGCCCAATGAGTGAAGTGGAACGAGGTAAGCTTGAGATGCGTCGGCAGATTCAAGCTTATGTTTGAATTTCGTAAGACTCAGATATGGGAGGTTTCTTCAAAATTTCGTACTCATTACTTTAGAACTTCACAACGCTCACCAAGAACGTGCTGCGGTTGCGCATGCAGGACCACAGCATATGAAAGGTGTTGCTTTTCCATTAGATCGAAATGCTGAGGATGCGGTGCGGAAGCTTGCACAGGGTCGATTAGCTCTTGTTCAGTTATCGGTTCGTTCTTTTTTTGTGGTTTTATTAATATTCCTATTCCATTTTTAAATAACTATAGTTTTGAAGATTGAACAAGGCAAATCAATTTTATTTGTGGCAGGAGGGTTTTCATTAAGAATTGAGCGCTGACCAGAAAGTTCGGACGGCAATACAAACCTCATGATCAGTGCTCGCTTTTTGTTGCACCGGTGCTTTCGGTTTAGACTTTTTTGTCTTCCATTCCTTTACAATTGCTTTAACAACATGAGCAAGCTGTAGGGTTCAGACAATTGGCCAAACCACAATAGATCGCAAATTATAGCCTGGATAATGAAAGATGCGAAAGAAGTGCGAACACATCAGATGAGAGACGTATTGGTTTGTCTTCGTAATGCACGCGTTGTTTAGGATGCTAGGGTTGTTTCCATTCTTCTGATTCTATCTATTCCCCTGTAGGCTTCATGAAAGCTCAAAATTGTGAAATTACGCCGGCGCAGTCTTCGACGCGAATTGATTTTGTAGTTTGTAAGATCACCGAAACTCCATTTTATGTAGCCTTTGGATGATCCTTTCTGTGTACACTAGACTATTAGCGCATACTTGTTATAGGTTGACACTTTGAATGAAGCTATAAAATTGGAAGCAACGGAGGAGACATTGCCAGCAAGCAAACTAGCCAGTAAAATTCCTCGGGATAAACCGCGATATACGTTCTTCCGGTTTCAACACGATAGCGATGGCTTTCCGAAGTATTCGACATGTAAGTGGATCATTATTTGCACTTGACTTTTTCCCATTGGATATTCGTTGTTGCACAGATTATGGTAAAGTAAGTAAATATCAATGATGGTGGTTATCAATGGAATATACTCTCCCTTTCAAAAAGCGAGAAAGCGTCGGGTGCAGACCATACACCACAAGTGACGACGGCCTCACAAAATGTAAATGTTTTCTGCCAATGAAATGATTAGCCTGTTGCAGTTGTATTCTATCAGTTGTCACTAATTACAACCATTTACCAAAAATCAGCTATCACTATGAACCACTACTAACCAGATTTACTTGGAGGCCGTCGTCACTTGTGGTGTATGGTCTGCACCCGACACTTTCTCGCTTTTTGAATGGGAGGGTATGTCTGGATTGAAAACGAAAATTGTGATTCATCATCCGAAACTATTGTTCATGACAGTCAGCCTTCCCTTGGTCGTCTGTGTAAATGGTTGAGAAATCTTGCGTCGCTTAGTTGTCAAAGAGTGTTCGCTCCATAAATTACGGCAACAAATTCGTTCCGCACCAATCATTACTACTAGCATGTTGCAGGTGTATTTTCTCTGTACTAGGCCTATCGGCATGAACTTAAAAAGGAATAAATTGGCTTACTGAGTTCAGGGCTCCCTAATCGTTGGACGGTTTTTATGTAAGATTCTCGCCGTGGACTCGATGCTTCAAAACGGGCAAGAAATTGATAGGATCGCATCTATGTTATGATATGTTTGTAGTTGTCAGCTTTTCCTAGCACTGTTCAGTGGTGGAGTCCTCGTCAATCGTCCATGAGTCCTTTTCAAGGAGGGACCATATCTTCCGTTTCGTAGCATTGCGTTGTGTTTTCGTCATTTATAGAAGAGAAATTTCATTCGAAATTGGGAAGGTTTTCAGAGTTTGGCCTACACTCACTCAGGTCTGAGTAATTTTTTGTAATGAAGCTCCCAGCATGTTTATTCTTTCCTCCCCTCGTTCAACGGTCTTCTTTAGAGATGGTAGCTAACGATAAGTTTCAGATACGATTATGAACGGCTGACTTGAGAATTTTAGGATGAGAGTTCCAAAGAAGACATGGGCGGGAATCGTTGCTCATCCCAAATGTCCTCAACGCAGTGGTTGACCCTTTTAGAATACATGACCACATTTCGAAGTGTAGAAGACACGGTTTCCTCCATTATATGAGCGCTTCAGTAATTACTGAATAATGTCTCGCTTTTTTTTCTCGATTGGATCAATCCTGTTGCAAACGACCATTGGAAACCGGATCTCAATATCGGCTGTTCATGAAACGGGGTTAATTTGAAGAGTTGTGTCACGATTTTTCGCATGTCGAAGGAATCTCGGATTGCTAGTTTATAGAAGTGGATCTCTTAATCAAACTTACTTTCCCTTATGGAGGATTGGCTTTTTTGGGACGCGTAATAAGAGGATAATTTTCTCATGTTACGAAACTCCTTTGGTTTGCGCCATGCAATTGTCTTCCAGTTAGGAGCTCGTGACGTTAAAATAGTTGGTCTGGTATTTTGAATTTTTCATCAAAAAAGAGTGGTTTCATCTCTTAAAACGAATCTGGAGCAAATCAACCGATCCAGAGTGGATAGAAGGCTAGTTCGCCAAAGAATAGTTATGTATAACACAATCTTCAATGTGATCCTTAATTGTGTAGTAGGGACGACGATTCCAACTGACTTGCTGCCGATGTCCGTCTGTACATATCTAGACCTTTGAAGTTTAGAAAATGCAGTGGAAGAGTAGTGTAGAATTGATGCAATTTGTAGCACCTCGTTGCAAAAAAAATGAATCTGAGCGAATAGCTCTGATTGAGGACCTACAGAATAATATCCTGTTTACTGAGCAGCAATACTCACCCTGAACTTTTGAAGCTCCCTCAACTAGCGTCAGTGTAGGGTGTTGAGCTGAGGCAAAGGTATCCCTTGTGGCGCGCAATTTTGTGTCATCAAACTCATTTGGAGAGGTCGCCTGAATTCTGAGCGCTGGGACGCCTGGTCGGAGCGACCAATAGTAAATCGGCGGCAAGGTTTCAGCGTTCGGAAATGCTTCGAAAATAAGTCTCCGGAGACGGTACATATGTCAAAAATACTGCAGTATTCAAGGAAGAACAGAATGAAATCAGATTTGGTTGTATAAAAAAAGAGCGCGTTAGATAGAAATAATTTGTATAATTCTATTTATTAATTATAATAATTAGTTGGTAATTGGAATAATTCAATACCTAATTCTCTGAATTTTTCGAGCAAAACGCTTGAAAAATGGTTCAGCTTGATGAAGAAATGACTTTTTTGTAATGTGCTAGACCTTATACCACGGCACAGTTTCGATTTTGTTCACAGACGTTCTGCTTTCAGTTTTCATTTACTCGTTACCATCTTCGGGTAGCTCAATCAAGGAACGCATGCTGTACTCAAGTTGCAAGTCTCCATTTCTGGAAACTGCCACTAAACACTTGGGAATAGAACTGAGTAAAAAGGTAGGTCTAATTTTATTTGCGCATGAGCTCCCACTTTTGTTTCTTGCATCGATCCTTTGTCAGAGAACATAGCCTGTCGGAGCATATGCTTATTGTGAACCATTCATAATATGTCGGCTTTTAGATGGAAGTAGATGCTAAAGACGATCTTTCGGAGTCAGCTCTTCTGGAATCACTGCATCCGGTAGAACAAGAAAGTCCGAAAATATATGCTCGTCCAGCTCTTCCAAAAGGAGCAGGACCTCGTCGAATTACGAAAGTTTGATCTTTCGCATGCGGCTCACACACGCTTATCCGATCGTCTGTGCTTATTTGTCACCTCTTCACCTTTCTCAGCTCCTGTCTTATTGTCAAGCTGCTATGTATAGAGACTGCCAGAACGTGTCTAAACGCAGTCAGTGCAATTGCTGGCTAGATAAATTTCAAACTACTCACAAGTAGCGCTTAATACGTATTAGTTTGCAAAGTATTTAATTATCAATTCACTCGTTTTCAAAGTTTGTATTACTATTGTTGTTAAATGCGAGCTATTAATAATATAAAAATGACTGTATGCCGTGTATTTTGTGTCATAGAAGCAAAATGCTACTGGGTTACAAATATTCCCAGTTTATTGTTTTATTAAGAAAAGAAAATCGGCCAGGTGCTTTCAAATGTTGCTTGTGAGGCCAAATTGATGAGAAGAACGTTGCTGTCAAGTTGTTTACATAGTCTTTGTCATGATGGAGGTCGTCCGACAATGAGATGGTCTATCCCAAACCGCACGCCAAATGCTGGCGTAATTACAGGTTGCAGCGCTGAGAAGGGTATCCATTACTACGCCGTTACAAAGGTGTTTATAGGGATGTAGGCAGGTTGATGCTGTCATTTGAGACTAACCAAAAGGCTGGCAGCAAGTTGCATAGAAAATAAAGGCGAGGGGAATTAAATGCTACTTGTCTATGGCGACCTTAGCTGAATGCATGGCGCTCTCCATATGATTCCATACCGTTGACGAACTTAGCTGTTTGGACGTGCAGTGATTAGTGGGGACAGAACCCGGAGAGCCGTTGAATTTCCTGAAACTTTCATCATCAGGAAGTAGGTTCGTAGCAGTTTGACCCAGTGCTGACCATATTGTGGCGGTTGCTTTGTTTGATCCATTCAACATTATTTCCACATTGCAAGGTCTAGTTACACTTTTCGGACTCGAAAAACAATTTATCAACCGAATTTCACTCATTTATCGATAGGTTACCAGTTGATGAGAAAAAAAAGTATAAAGTAGGAAAAGAGGAAGTAGGTCTGTCAAAATGCGTAATGCCAGACGGTCAGCACATTCACAGTTCACTACGATATTTTGAAAAGCAATTCCCTCCCAATCGAAGCGTCCACCACTAAAAGTCCCGTCGCTTTATCTAATTTTGCGTCTCAGTGGGCAATTGCTGAGGCTTCTTGTTTCGTGACCCTTCATTGTACTGGCCACTGAACTATTCGTGACGCCCACCTCCGAATTTTCGGGTTTTATCTTGTCGTGGACATTCCTGGCTGACTGTACGCCCTGCGCTATCAAGTTTATCAGCCTATTTGTAGTTGGTCTTAGCTCCGAAAATTGGTATATTAAATCCGCCGCAAATCTCGTAGTTCCTTGACTCTAGGATGAAATCTCCACTGGAAGCCCCTTACTCCAAGCGACTGCTTCACCCCACTTTTTCCAAAACGGCTATCCTCGGTTAGTTCTGACCACATCAAAGGCCGGATTCGAGCACATTTGTGTTTGAAATAACTCAGTGTTTATTTGCCATTCTCTCAGCCTTGAACCTTACTGACAATAAAGTTCCTGCTCCGGTTATGGGTGTATAAAATAAAAATGTAGTAGTACCCAGTAAAAACGTCGTTAAGTACACGGTTTGAATCCCTAGAGAATTTTTCGTAAGATTAATGCAACAACCGGGAAAGAGAACGTATATGGATTACGATGTATCACAAATTTATGCTTGACCAGCGTTTCTAGAATATCTTCTTGAATCTGTTGGTCAACAATGGTGTATCTTTCATCATGGCTTGGAAACTTAAACAATATAGCTCCTAACCCATGCTAGGTTTTCAATTTATGAGATTTGTTGCAGAGTTGTTGTACTGTCCTCCGATAGCGCAAATTCGAAATAACCCTTTTACATGGATGCATGAATGAAGTAAGGATTTTGGCGGACTTACATGAGTAAAAGTTGAAGCTGTCAGCTTACTATTTCAGTAAACCGAAGAAGTCCAGGTCAGCTGCTATTGATCGATAGTTATATAAAGGCTACGCAACGTTTATCTGTTATGGCGGCGAACAGGCGGTGGTTGGCTTGCGGCGGCTGCGGTGGTGAGAAACAGATGTGCTGGCAGCGATCGAATGGCCACCAGAGCGTTTTTCTTCCGCTGTTCAACGAACTTGCATCAACCTCACACATCACTCCTTTCGGCCTCCGTGACGTCCGTAACGCCGTCGTCGGCACATCTGGAAGCAATTCATCTGCTGAGCACTATTGTCCATCAGCACCGGAATCGACCTTGTCGTTATCATAGGCGGTCAGTGTCATCTGAACGTATCAATGTGCCAACACCGCTCTCATTAGCCTTCTTTGCGCTATGCTACTCACCTGGATAGCTATTCTCTGTGCACTTCCAAGGGGTGCTCATTTTACCTTGACAGTATTGACTCCCGCCATCCTCCAGCTAGTAGCGTACACCATGTAAAGTTTTCTCTCCCATCAAGCGGAAATGGTACGCGATCATTTCGTACCTTGGAAAGATTACTGAAGTTCGGCAACTACACAATCATCCGCACCTCTTCGTCAGCTGTCAATAAATCTCTCGATGGAGGAGTCGTGTTCCGACGCTACTATACCGACCCGATTCCCGTGAAGACGAAAAGAGCTGCTACAGCCCGGAAGGAGCGTGTCTGGCCGGATGGTGTGATTCCGTATGTGATCGCTTCAAATTTCTCAGGTAGGATTTTACTCATCAATCTTACCTTTCAACTTATCACGTTTTCTTTGGTAAAACAGCAACTAGTAAATTTTTACGACCGATGTCGCGACAGTAATGCTCGATAGGAACATAACAGCCCACGCGTCCGTGTAATAAATCGCATGTTCGGAAGCAAATTCGTAGTGGTGCGGAATGAAGCGCTCGGGTTTTCGGGGGTTTTTTGGCCTGAAATTTTGGGCAGCACTATGGTTGCTGGATTTTCAAACAAATTTCAACTAGAAAATTTATCCACCAGGAGTTTTTGGATTTCCACTTGAAAGCAAACCTAGATATGTAAAGCAGAGTGGTTGTTGTTTTGCTGGCTCCTAGACTTTAAGTTTCTGATGCCTGCGACCGCAGCGTGTCTCTTTTGCGACCCTGGGAAGGTTTTGCAGGTTTTAGCGGTGCTCTTGTAAAATTAGTGGCGCTGGTTTCGAATTTAAAATCTGATGAGGCCCTCGTAAACTTTTCATTTCTGCAATCTTATCTATTTTTCTTGCAGGTGAGCATAAGAACTTGTTCCAGAGGGCAATGCGACATTGGGAGAATTATACCTGTGTCTCGTTTGTACCTAAATTGGAACATCATAAACACTACATAATGTTCACTATCGACAAGTGTGGGTAGGTTTTCATGTTGGTCACTTTTCTTGGTCAGGTTCCAGTCAGAAATGCTGTGCATAGTCTTTAGTGCTTTCTAAACTCAACCCTTCACAACTCCCAGAACCGAGAACCGCTGACATGGTATTTAGTCCTTCTAAACTACCTCCACAACTGCAAAACGAGAAGCTGCCTTGGCGCGAGCTTGTATCTAACCACCTATGCCATAACGTAATCTCGATTGGAAACTGTACGGCCTCGTCATTCTAAAACTACAATGATATACATATTGTGCCAATCATGGTTAGGAAACTTTATAGCCAAATACATGACTCGCGGCAAAATCAATTTCTCCATAATTGTTTGAAGGCATTAATAGCAGGTCTTGCTGATTTAAGGCTTGCTGCTCCTACGTTGGATCGACGTGGTGATGGTCCCAAGCCATATCTATAGGAAAAAATTGCGATAAATTTGGCATTGTCGTTCATGAACTTGGTCATGTTGTTGGATTTTGGCACGAGCATACTAGACCAGATCGTGACCAATATGTTGATATCTTCTACAAGAGCATTCAACCAGGTAATTTCATCGTTACTACTCTATCTCAAGGTACTGCTTAGCATGCTAGTACACTGAAAGTCTTGCATCGTTTTTGAACGCGTTGTTTACAACTGGCTCTTTTTTCGATGCGAATAAATTAATGAGGCGAAGTTAAGTGGCGGCAACCGTTTATCGTACGGCATGAGTACTCCCGAACTGTTTCGATTTTCTCTAAAACGACTGAAGTCAGATCAGGGAAAAATTTGTAATCTTTAATACTCACTTGAACCAGTAGAAAGGAAAGCTATAGGATTATATCAAGTCTGAGAAGAATGCATGAGTGAATGTCAGTGATATTTTTTTCTTTTTAAAAAAGGTCTTTGTACAAGACCCCGTACTTTATCACTATTTTTTTCACTCGCTCGCAACAAAAAGGGTCGAAACTACATCCTTGAAAGCGATCGGCGATGTAGCAAGATTCGTTAAAAATTTTTGCATGACGCCCTCCTATGAAGTTTTGTTTTACATATATTATGCATAGGACAGGACTACAACTTCGAGAAATCGAAACCAGAGGAAGTGGATTCCCTTGGGGAACCGTATGATTTCAATTCTATAATGCACTACGCCCGCGATACGTTTTCTCGTGGCACTTTCCATGATACGATTCTGCCAAAGCCAAGCTCAGGTGAAATGCTTGGAAGGTTATAAGGAACTGCTTTGCGTGCATAATTGAATGTAATAAAATTTGTATTTGATTAGGATTTCGATCTGAGATTGGACAACGTGTACAGTTGAGTGAAGGCGATATCCGTCAGGCAAAGAAGCTCTTACAAGTGTCCAGGTATGGCCTATTCGGGATTTTTTATAGAGTTGTCTCCTATGTCTGTAGGTTCCCATCAAACATGATGGTGCTATAAGAACTGCATTAAGGAATCAGTCGTCTGTGTCGCAATGCACAGTAAATTGACCAACTCCCGTTTTTGGTTAACTGTTGTATAGAGAAAATAGTCTTCTTTGTTTGTTTATGGTTGCAATAGTCAGAAATGATTTTGTCGCTGTCAGCAGTATATAATTCCTGCTTATAAACTAACGGACAGATCATTTTCAGCGTGTGGAAGTACTCTGGTGTCCGAAACAGCTGAGCTGATTCCATCGACTGCTGGCAAGTGTGTATGGCGTATAGTGGCTGCAGAAGGACAAACGGTGTTCCTAAATTTGACAGGTGAGTGCTTTGTAAAGAAATCTGATTTTTTCATCATCTTATGTTCTCATCGTGGAGCTCCTTCTCATCCTATATTTACCTTTTATTTTGAGTAGATCGAATCAAACGGCTACATTCTTGGAATAGCCGTGATCTATTCTTGTTCGAACATCACTTTCGGTTTATGTTTTTAGTCTTTCTTTGAGCGTTGAGATTTCTTGCAAATGCTGCAGAACGAAAAAAGTGCAGAAATGAGTGCTCTTTGGCTTGACTGATGATCTGCACTTTGCGTAGCTCTAGCTTTTTTGAGTTGCCATTTTTTCTAGATTTAAATGCCTCGACCATTTGTCTTTATTGGGACTATGATTAAAAGACCTGACTTATCGTTAGTCTATCTCATCAATCTTCCATGAACAGAGCCTCGACGCTCGATTGATCTCTGAAGGGACAATGCTACAATATTGCGCTGAAGCATTGCTCACGTCATACTGCCACCTAAAACATTTTTGTGGAAATCATAAAATTCATTTTGAGAAATAAGTCAAAAGTTGACGTCTATTTGCCCAAATCAGGAGCTAATGTTCAAAGCATTCACAACAGGAAACGTAGCGAACTGTTTCTACTTCCTTTTTCACTTCCTTGTAACTTCCATGAGTTTTTTCCTGAAGTTCCCTGACTTACCCTTTTGAGGTTCCTTTCTGCTGCCTCCTGCAGCTACTTGCCTTGAGGAGAAAGAAAACGCGATAGTGGTCAGGGATGGATATATGTCTAAAGCACCAGTTTTAGGTATGCCTGGCATATTCCCTATTACACTATCACATTTTTGGGTCTTTTACACATTTCACTGCTTCCAGACAAGATTTGTGGCGACGAAACCGAGTATAGGACTGTGGTATCTACTGGCAGCAGGCTGTACGTTGAGCTTCATTCTACACTGCTGCCAGTTCTTCCAATAGGAAAATATAATTCCATCTGTGGAGGTCCTATTTTTGCTGACAGCGGGGTGATCCAGGTAATTATTATTTTTCACCAGGTGTTCCATGTCTTTTTTAGAAGAACTATTCGATGTCGGATAGGTATGGACTTCTCAATCAGCCGTATTACGAGAGTTCTATTAACACGTTAGGATTTTGTGAACTTTTTCAGAGAATATTTCTCTTTCAGAGTCCCCGGTATCCTGAGTCGTATCCACCAAACGCTGACTGCTTTTGGACAGTACACGTTTCCGAGGGTTACCAGGTTGCCGTTGACATCGTATATTTTCATGTGAGTTCATTTTTCTTCCAGTGAAGAACTCACTGTGAAGTATTGTCAAGTCATTTGGAAACCTTCTAAAAACGGTATCCAGAAAGTGGGAGCTTGGTGGGGTTCTCATGAAAAGACTTCATTTTTGAGTATTCTCACCTTTCACACGCTTGGAGTTGTTGACTTCCACATGGTATTTGTTCTACGTCTACTGATAAAGGTGTTCGGGTCCATGTCCAAAACTACCGGGCAGTCTCATTGAGTACAAGTGGTTTCGATTATTGATCCACTCCGATTTCGCACTTCGAATTCGTTTTCATACGTGCTTTATCTAATTCAGCTTGAGCAACATAAGGACTGCATCTATGATCGTGTGGTTTTGTATGAAAGTTCCGAGAATGGAGCTCCTCTTGCTACACTCTGTGGGGTGGTTAGTGGAAGGCAAATTGTCACCAGAAGAAGTAATCAAATGGTCATCAGGTAAGGTGTAGGTCATTTTGTCATCAGAACTCCATGACTCTGTGTCTGCAGTGACTAACAGATCAATTAATTCAGGTTAATTTCGGATAACTCTGTCCAGAAATCGGGTTTTGAATTGTCGTTCGTCCGCGAGCTGGATGAGTGCGCCTCAGGAACGGAACTCTGTGAACAGCGTTGCGTGAACACTGTTGGTAGCTACAGATGCGACTGTCACGTCGGCTATAGTCTTCGTCCAGACGGAAAAACGTGCGAGAGTGAGTTTCTAGAGGATAAGTCCTCATCCTTTCTCTAAACTCTCTTGGTATCTGTGCGCCCCGTGTCTAATTTTTGGTTGTGCTTTGCTATTTTTAGTATAGGCCCCTTGATAAATTTCAAAAGCCTCAAATCTGGCCTAGAAGTCGCTCAGTGGAATTTATCAGCTGTTTGGAACCGCCCAATCTCTGGAAAATACTGTCTGAGAGCCTAAAGACTGTGAACAGGGTCTCAAAAAATTTGCATCTGTGGTTCCTCTGTCGACCATTTGCTAGTGTCAAGGGGTGAAATTATTGAGAGCAAGTGGTCACTTCTGAATGTAGTTGATCAGGGTAAGGTGGTGTGGTGGCAGGTAGGGCAACTTCCAACACGCACGGTCTGAGGGCCAAATCTCAGATCGAATCTCGCTTAGGCCACCCAACCGCACTCCATCCTTCAGGTCTGCCCGTTGTTCGTAAAAACGTTGAAAGAATTAGAATACTGGCTGCAACAACGGCCTCCCTCTCAAGCCGTGATACGGCTATACCGGCAAGTCAAATACAATATATCCTGAAAGTGCATTCCGAGTGCGTTTAGCGTATCGTAAAAGAAGGACCAAACGTCGAACCTTTATCCTGATTCCGGACGGGTGTATAAAAGTGCCCAATAGCCTTTATCCTTTGGTCATGAGCTTGGAAACTTGTGCAAATACATTCTACATGAACCTCCTTACCCCCAGTCACCATAAGTGTTTTGGACAGTTATCGAATCGCCCATTGATTATTGCTCAGCAGCTAAAAAGATGGATACTTGCTATTCTCATGCTGTCTGCTCTCACACAACCAACACATGTTGAGTGGAATCCGCAAATACCTTTCCTACGTTGTGATTTTGATACCTAAGTAACTAACTCTGTTGATAGAATAGTACGTTTACCATGACTCGTCGAGATTGATGTGACACAAATCTGCCAAAGCCAAGAGCGAACAACATATATTGAATGTTGCGAGGCTGTAAGGTGCTTCTCCTCAGTCAGATCAATCACTGTAGCACCTAGCTTTTCTGTGCAGCAGCATCGAGTTCTACTGAGAGCATCTCACGCTCGTTTGCGTCTCCCAACTTCCCACAACATTATCCTTCATCGAAGAATTGTGTCTGGGAAATCGAGGCAGATGCAGGATACCAGATTTTCTTGAATTTCACGACGTTCAATATTGAGGTTTGCAATGAGTTTGTTGTGCTTTCTAGTTAAACTGTACACCGTGCCCTCTTCAGGGACATGAAAAACCGAGTGTGGCCCTCCATTACGTGAAAATCGTGAAAGCGAAAATGGGATAATACAGTGAACCACGAATCTTGTTTTTTCGAGAATTTGTTTAATCTAACCAAATATCAATATAAATATAAGAGGATTTTACACAGGCCTGAGCAGGCCACTTATGATACTTTTTATTTATACCGTATGACTGGTAATTGACATTTTCGAAAGGGATACTCTGGTTCTTCAGCTGAGCCACTACTGTTCACATCGGCTTCGAATCGTGTGAGGGTGGAGTTTGTATCCGATTCCTCAGTCGAGCGAGCGGGTTTCATGGCACATTTCATAGCAGATTTGGATGAGTGCCAAGCAGATAACGCAGGCTGCGAGCACATTTGTCAGAATAGACTTGGTGAGTTGATCAGTTTGGAAGTTGTCTATCGTGTATTGGTTCAGTAATGATTGTCACATCTTTCAAGGTTCATATTTGTGCCTCTGCCATGCTGGATATGTTCTTGCTGAGGACGGTCACAATTGTAAAGAAGGAGGATGTTTCTTTGAACTGAATTCGCCTAGCGGTATGGAACATCTATTTGTTATCAATATCAGATTTCTAGGTGCTTGCAAAAATGCTTATGTGGGCGTAGCATCTTTGTTGGGTAATTTCAGGTGTTATCACTACACCGAACTACCCAGGTGACTATCCGAAAAGCCAGAATTGCACATGGCATTTTGTGACCACTCCCGGACATCGGCTAATGCTTGTGGGTTAAGGGTTTTCTTTCGTAGAGAAGGTTTTGGCTGCATTTTTTCACTCCTTGGATATTCTTTGACTCTTTTGAATTTTTTGAATCTCGTGCCAGCGGGATGCTGTTGTTTGCCTCGCGATCAATTAAGTTTTACAATTTCAGAATTTCTTGTCATTCCAAGTGGAGGAACATTCTCAATGTAAATACGATTCGGCTTCGATTTATGATGGAGGTGATACCAATGCAATACTTGTTGGTGAGCCTTGGTTTTTTACTTCTACCTAAGCTCGAGCATCTGAGTGGGAACGTGAATGATTTTTCGCATCTTAGGTATTTTTTGTGGAGTCATTCCACCGCCATTATTCATGTCATCTACGAACCAGCTATTCCTCACTTTTACGTCTGACGCGTCGGTGTCACGGCAGGGTTTTGAGGCGAATTATGCTTCGGTTTGTGGTGGTCGATTGACAGCCGAATCCTCTCCCGGTCACATTTATTCGCATGCGACGTTTAGTGACAGTAAATACGGTAAAAGTCAGGTCAGCGCTGTTTTGTAACTATTTTAGTGTTATTTTGCTTTATCCACTTGGGTCACAAGCTTGTGAGCTTCCCATTGCTGTTAGGTTGTATGGAGCCTTTTTAGGACTGCTGGTGGAGAGTGTCGGCCAGATCGCGGCATCGAGGTGTGCGTCTAGAATTCAGCACGTTTACCTTGGAAGCGGAAGAAAGTTGTCAATATGATTATGTTGAGGTAAACACCTTCATTTCGTTATGTTTCGATGATCGGCTATTTATCGTCTGGTAGTTCTCTTGATACTTTGTTGAAGCTACCCATTGATGGAAGAAACCCCTCTTGCTGCACTATTCAGACTTTATTCCCAATACTCGTTTTGAGAAATCTATGAAAATAAAATAATACAGGCACAGGTGTCATCGGGGGGTGAGGGCGGAGGGGAGGAGTTGGGGGCATCGTCGTTGACCAAGCTTTAGGAGAAAAGAAAAACTCCGTTCAAAGTGAAAATTGCTCTAACCCCTCTCCTAAACCTTCTTAAGATTTAGTCCTAGTGAGGACTAGAGAAGGAGAATGGGATTGGCTACATGGGCTCTACGCACAAAGATACCCCTACTCCCCTCCCCATCACACCAGCGCCCTAATGCAAGTAAAATAAATTGGAAAATTGTCTGAGTCGCTAATGACTTATCGTCCATCGGAACGGCCACAGTGAGCGTTTTTCTAGTATTTACGGGTGAAGGGATGTTGCAACCGGTGAACTGTTGGAAACCTATGCGTGGCAGCAACCACGCTAGAAAACGTCTGAGGGTCCATTTCATTTTATTCATTCCCGCTCTAACTGAGGTCATCCATCAATTGATTTGTGAGCGCGATCCTTATAAGTGTTGCAAAATTTTGAACTTTTCAGATATATGATGGTCTTGAACCGGTTCACCATCGATTATTCGGAAGATACTGTGGAGATCAAATACCGGAGACCATAACAAGTACAGGTCAGTGTAAGTGCACTGGAAAAGGCATTCTGCTCGGGGGCATATCTTCACCCAAACTTAGAACTTTTGGCAAGCGTACATCAAAATAGCATAAGACAGTGGGGTAGTCATATGAATTCTAGTGTGGAATTTGAAAATATAGCATGTAACATGTATATGTATAGCATGCAACGGTTTTTTGCCATCTGATTTCGTTTTGCGACGCTACCATAAGTTGCGAGGGCATCCTCTGGGACTAACAGTGGGTCTCGAATGGACAGAAAACTCGGGAAAACGAAAATTGCTCACGCGCCCTGAAGCTTCCCCACGGGAAGTATAACCCCGTTTAAAGAGAATTAGCTCTTCGATGCGTGTTCAAAGCAACAATCCCAGATCAAATTGGGTGAGTTACAGTGGCCGATCGTGAAAAGCGTGGATACGAGTTGACTGAAGATGAAAAAGAGAAGTTAAGCAAACTGTCTGTGAAGCGCTTGACAAGGATGCGTTCTCGTCCATTTTGAGATTAGGAAGGGGCGTATCCGGACGAGTTATGAACACAGTCGCATAGTGTGATACGTGTATCATATCTATTGAATCCATGGCCTATCTTATCTGCTAAGTCGTAATTCCCGTCGCGTGTTCGGAATTCATGAATATTGCGATGGACCGTTTTGACAACAGGCTCTACCACGTTCCGCTCGAAGCAGTGAATTCTTGGCCAAATAGTGTGCAGTTAGGGCAGAAATGATGTAATGGCAAGTGGCGCTGCTTACCTAGCGCACGGTCAGGGGAACAGATCCTGCACAGTACACCCCCGTCAACCAAGCCTTCTATCCCTCCCGAGTCGGTTCATTTGTACTAGACTTGCCTGGGAGGGTATTCAAAATGTAACTGCGATTCTGAATATAGGTAGAATGCGTGGCGCATCCCAAAGGGGTAGGCCGGCATCGAGAGTTTTATTTCTATCCTTCTAATGTGCAGTTTGAATTGCAATGCACACTCAGGCGACCCGCATACATATTGACAAAAAGTAACCTTTTATAGGTGAAGGAATTCCAGTATACAAGGATGGGTGAACTATGTAGAACGGTGCTGCTTGCAGCAGGTGATGCGAAATTTTGGCGAGAAGCAACGTGGGTGATGAGCTCAAAATGTCGGGGACGTCATTCCTCATGTTGAGCTCATCACCTACGTTGTTTTTCGCTGAAATCTCGCATCACGTGCTGCGAGCAGGTTTTTTTTTCAGTGCACACATCGTGGTATATTTGACGGATTTTATTTTCGTGATATTGTCATTTGCTAGGTCCTGATATACTTCTCATTCTGCATACGGATGATTCGGAAGAAGAAAAAGGATTTGTGGCGGAGTATCGAGAAGCACCACGTGGACGCATACGACCGAAGGCTCAAATGCCACGACCTGTTCCAAATAAGGAGCCTATCAGCTAAATCTTTCATTTTGCAATCCTTGCCATGATCTGAATTCCTGAGGCGATAGTTATAGCCTTCACATTTTGTTTACTGCGAATGCTCTTGAATTTACTGAATTTATAGTGGATCACCACCTTTCGAGTTCTGATTGCTTTCGCATACCATATCATAGGTGTGTTCTTCAGCCGTGCGTTTTTTCGTGACAGCTTCTGACTCTCATTCGCATTGAAAGCGACAGCTTAGGCGCTCAAAGGTACATTCCACGATTTACCGGGTGTAAGTTATTGCGTCCGAAAATGAAAGCATTTGTAGTGGTTGGTCAAAAGTGAAGAAAGCAAAAAAAGCTGCAGAATACTTGAAAAACCACAGCGCTGGTCGTGTGGGCGGAGTTTACGTTTCGCCCTCACAACGATCCCTTTGTCTGACCCCATTTTTCGCCATTTCCCACGAGCACGGCTGACCATCAAGTCGAAGAGGAGCGGGCGCGCGTGCCCCGCCCATAGCGCAATGTGAATTTGGGGATCTTTCGCCGGTTTTCTATATTTTCTTACATTGCATAACTACGGCATATCTTGCGTTCCATTTTCAAACACAAATAACTGCTTACCTAATTGCGTCGTTGAATGGGACCTTTACAGTAAGTTCTCTAGTAACAAATGAAACTGTTAAGGAAATCGAGAAACTGGCTCGACGGTGGAGAATTGTTGTGGTGTTTGCGTTAACCGCTTGTCCAGTCGCTAACCCCCTAAAGTCCGTCGCGCGCGAACAGCTCGCATAGCAGTCAATCGCTGCGATATCCCCGGTGGGAATAAAGTCCATGGGCCGTATGCTATGCTTTCCCCGAAGCTAGGTGACGCAAAGTTTCCTTTAAATTTATTTGCTTTGAATGATGTCGCTTCTTCATTTTCAATGCATGTTTACTTTAACCTACATACATACATTTAATGTAGGCCTTTTATCAGGGTAATCCCAGTTGGGAAGACAGAGAAAATTTAAAGGAATTTTCGTCCCCTAACCCCTTCGGGGAGCATAGCATACGGCCCCTATTGGGACAAGAAGGGGTTGCGCCATAGGGCCTAGCATACCCT